TGCCGCCTGTCCTGGCTGGGTGTTTGGGATCCTCTGGCAGTTTCTTTTGTCCCTCTGTCCTTGGTCACCCTGTCCCTGCTGGCTCCCAGTTGGCTCCTGCCCCCGTGCTGGGGGTGCTGGGAGATGCGAGCGGGGAACGGATTCCATCCCCAGCCTCTTCTTCCTTGGGAATCCTCTGATTTGGTTTCTTGCCTTCAGGTGAGGATTTTAGGGAGAGGAGGGGAGGGAAATCTCATTTTCAGGGCCCAAGAGGCAGCGTCATGACAAAGCTGGAGCATCTCCTGCAGGCCAGACTGAAGCTGGTCCCTGATGGATGCTAAAGCGTGTCACGTCCCGAGCTGGATGGGAACTGCATCCCTCTTCCCTGTCCCTGCTGCTGGCAGGAGAGCTCAGCACTTCCCCTGATGAGCAGAGCTGGGCTCAGGGCACATCCCCCACCCAGTTCAGAAGCCCTTTCCCAGGGGATTGCACAGCATTTCCTCCATTGCAGGTGGCTGAAATAGAGAAGTGCAATGATTTTGCCCAAGGTAACTTCCAATGGTGAGCCAGGAGTAGCACCCAGGAGCCCTTGACTCACAGTGGTGGCTGCTCAGCTGCAGGGACCTTGGGGGGGACACAGGGAGGCTGCTGCTGTGATGCCAGGAGCAACCCCATCCCAACATCCCAGTGGTGGGAGGCATGAGAGCAGTGACAGGCTGTGCTGCAGCTCTCGGCCAGCCCAGTTCATCCCACATCTCTCCCTGGGTTCCTCACTGAGCTTGTTTAGCATCTCGGGGGTTTCCTCTTAGTGGAATTTGTGTTTTCAACCTCCAGGAGTCAGGGTTGGCCCGTGGGGCTCCAGGGTTGCATCTCCCAAGGAAAGGGACAGTTGGGGACACAGAGGCTGGGGTCAGCTCTGCCCTTGGCCCTGGGCAGCCAGTGTCTGGCACTAACTGGGGGGCTGTGACTCTGGGGTTGCTTGTCCCTGGGTCAAATCCACCTTTCAGAGGTGGCCCTGGGTGCAAAACCTTGTGGTTTTCCCTTTTTTTTTATTGTCCCTGGAGGAAGCAGAGGGTTAAATTGGGACAAGTGTGTGACAAGTGGCAGCAGATCATGAGCTGTGACTGTGGATGGTTCTGTGGGAACAAGCCATGGCAAAGGGAAGAAGGGACCCTGTTTCAAACCAGCTCCAGAGCAGCAGCTTCATGGCTTTGACCCAACAAGCCCCTCCAAGACCTTCTCTCTGGGCAGGTGGGTTCCCATGGCACAGCTTGGCTGCCAGCCCTGCTGCCGGGTGTCTCCTGATGTGTGACATGCCCCGAGCTCACAGGGGCTGTAACATTCAACACCAAATACTTCTGTCCACCCACGTGCCCGGGGCCAAGCCAACGGAGGCAAATGTTTCCCTGGGCTGGGGACTTTGAAGTGGCCACATGAAGATGAAAGGGGGAGATTTGGGGCCCCATTGCTGGTGAACTTCCCACCTCACGTTTGATTTTCCAGCTGGAAAACCTGGGTTTGAATGAAATGGGGGGGAAAGATGGGGTTTGAGGGGCAGGAGTGTCTGTGGGGCAGTGTTTTTGGGCTGGGCTGAGTTGCTGCAGCCCAGGCCTGGCAGTGACTTTTGTTTTGTGTAGGGTTGACATAAACACAGAGGGGTTGTAAAAGGGGATCTATAGAAAATGAGGAGAACACGGTGTCCCGGAACAGAATTAGTTCAAGACAGGTGGACTCAGGGCCCTTGGCTCTCTCTCAAAGAGGCATGTTGGAGATGGGATTGGATGGGATGGGGATGGAGCATATGGCATCCATAGCTGGGAAAAGTATTGAGCTGCTGGCAGGAGTGGTGAGGGTGACCCTGGGGTGAGCTGCTGTGGGGTCTCCTGCTTCTGGGGCTGTCAGTGCCCCTTGCTCTGGGGTGAGGGACAGGGTTTAAGCACTGGACTTGGTAGAGTTGGGTTCATGGTTGGTGATTTTCAAAGTCTTTTCCAACCAAAATGATTGTGTGTGATTGCATCCCCTCCCCACAGACACCCCCCCCCCTCCCCAAGGTGGTGGTTTTCACCCTCATTTCCACAAGGGAAAAGCACCAGGGGATCAATGCCTGTGGGAACTGGTTGATAAAGCACAGGAGACTGGGATGGCAGTGCATGCAAGATACCCCAGTGGCTGCCTACTGGTTAAGCACTGGGGTCCTACTGGGGGAGAAGAGCATCCCCAAGGAGACCCTCTGGGCTCTGGGGACACGGTGTCTCCCACAGGAGGGACTGGGTGGCTGTGACATGTGGGTGGTGGGAGAACAGTGACCAGAATGCTTGCTCTGCCTTGGCCATTCAGCAGGGAGAAGATGCTGCTGGTGGGGCTGGGACTTGGGGAGGGCAATTCTGGGGGGGCAGCAGCTCCCCTGGCTTCCCCCAGCCCTGCCACCCTCCAGCCCTGCCACCCTCCAACACGCCGATGCCTTTTCCATGCTGGAATTGGCAGCATCTCTTGGCCATATGTGACTGAACCAAGCCCATCTGATGCCAGGTTGTGGACAAGGGACACAGAGGACTTGCTCCAGAGCTCTGACACCCACCTTTGCAACCTTCCATCCCTGGTCATGGAGGGTGCCAGCTCACCCCTGGCATCGGTGAGAGATGATGGTGCCAAAAGTGGGTGTTTTGGGGCATGTTTGGTGCAGGGCAGCATCTCTGGATGCTTTTGAGGTGACCCAACAGTGGGGCTGTGTGTTGGTGGAGTAGAGGGGGGAGGAGGGGAGTGTGTGAGGAGCCCTGCTGCCATGGAGAGGGGTTAATTAGTCACTGTGTAAATGAGCATTGATGCTGAATCACCCGACACCCGCTGCGTGGGGAGACCCAGCCCCGGAGCAGCCCCCGTGCACCCCAGTTCCCTGCCCAAAATAAAACATCATTTTGAGCAGGATTAGGGGGAACTGGTCTCCATGGAGACCGTGTGTGTCTCGGCACTGGCGCTGCTGGGGATGCTGGGCCCGGGTGCCTGTTCCTGGGGGCACCACTGGCATCAGGGGGGGTGGGACAGACAAAATAACCCCCTGTCCCTCCCCAGCAGAGCCAGGAGGTCCCACCACCTTCCTCCCTGGGGGATGGGGGACACACACAGCATCCCTCAAAGCTGGGGTCCCTCTGAGGGCCCAGAGCCAGGCAGCCCAGTGCCATCTGCCTGCACTGACCCCCTGGCTCCCGCGCCGGAGTTAATTGGCGGTGCTAATTAGCACGTTATTAAAACACACACACCCCCCCCCCCTTCCACTCTCTTCCCTGCCTCATCACGCAGGGTGCAGCCATGCCAGGAGTGATGCTTTTCCCTGTTTGCCTCCCCCCCCTGCCCCATCTCAGAGCTGGGCAGCGTGGGACCAGAGGCTCGTCCTGGTGGTGCTGGTGACAGGGATGGGGACAATCCGGCTGTGGTGCTGGGGGCTGGGGGCTGCAGGGTGGGTGCTGGGGGCTGCAGGGTGGTGCTGGGTGCTGGTGGCAGCCCCGTGCAGGCAGCTCCCCAGATGGGAAGCGAGCAGAGAAGGGCAGCGTGTTATTAAAATGTGTTGAGTTGTAATAATCCAAGGGGGTGGTATCAACACATGGGAGGGAGCTATTTTAGAAACAGGCATGCTA